AAATCACAAGTGATCGACACGAATGCTCAAAGTCATGGCTAAAAAAACTGCGTGGTTAATTGAGCCGACCGAACCATAGAAATATGTTGCATACTGCCTCATTAATTTTTCAACAAACCCTAACTACAATATGATATCGATCAGCGTGTATAATGTCTTCTTTAGGTATTGACAAAGAGCTCTCGCTCGCTTACGTACTTCTTTGAATGTAACGCTTCGGTTAGGGAAGGAGGATGGCTAGAGCAGTTTACTTTCTGAAGAAAAATTTAAAAATAGTCAATTTTTCTAGTAATAAAGTGAAGTGTTTTAGTGACGTGTGACTGAGAGTTCCTAGGTACAGAAGCGTATCTTAAAAGCTATTGAGCGGTACATATTTCATTCATAATTCACTGCAGAAAGAAACATATATCAGCAGATCTGAAAAAGATAGAAGGTTTTCATGGAGGCCCAGTTGGTGTTCCTAAGCATTAAGAATTATCATTCGATACACTGTTTTATTCCTTTTCATTGGCCGAGAGTTCCCCACAAGACCTGCAAATAACTGCCTCCAAATAATCGCCTGCTCATGCGTAGTACCGCCCAAATGTATTTTGCTGCAAATAATATTCTGCTCATGCGTAATTGAAACTACGCTTTCGGGTAGAAAACGGCATATCGCTAACCTGAGCTGTCAGAGATTGATTTAAATTGGGAAAAACTTGTTGATCGAATAATGAAACAATTATTGAACTCGGTTATAGCAAAATATTGTGTCTCGCAGATCAATTATCTGCCTCAGCCTTCGGCCAGTTGGCAAATAGTTGATCTGTTCGCCACTGACAAATCAAGATATTTTGCTTAACCTCGTCCTATAATTGTAAAATGTTTGCGTAAGAAAAAAATCACTTCTTAAAGGAAAGAAATTCTCTAGCGCTTGTTTGGAGGCACCAATGTGGCGGCGTGGCGGTGGGACTGATGTCCAAAATAAATCCTTTATACAACAAAAGGTCGTGTTCAAAACACGAGATGGCGAAATAACGAAATGGCACTACGAGTAAGAGTGAACGTGGGAGACGGGTGTCTGAAAGGGTAACCCTTAATTATACTGAAAGTTAATCACCGCCGAGTCAGTGCTATTTAGGCTAACCGTAGTGCCATTTCGCCATTTCGCCATCTTGTGTTTAAACACACCTACCACAAAAGAAAGGCAACAGAATATATGATCTTTCATATATTCATTTGCAATATTTACACATCATCAACAGCAGAAGTCGGGATAGCTTGTTAAGCGCTCAGTTTGTCTCCAGCAAGCGCCCCTCCCTGATTTATGTACGCTCACTTATGATTCAAAATAAGAGCTTCCTGTCTTCAAACACCCCTCTCTATATATATAGCTCTGTCAATCCCTCACTCAAAATAGACTTGGGGTTTGAATTGAAAGCAAACTATTTTTATAACTGGGCGATTTCTTTAAGAATTTGAAGACCTTATTAAAATCTTATGGTAAGTTTCTTATATGAATCGAATAGGTTGAACCGGCTGCAAAATTTTCAGTTTCTTTGTGAAATGCGATCTGAGTTATCTAAGTTGCGGAAAAAACTCCATCCAGTCCTCCGACGGCGATGAGGTTTATGATGGCTGATAGCGCACTGGTACCAAGCTCTGAGTCATAACGACTTCTTTCCATGTTCACTTCACTGCAACTTCTATCATAGTTCATTCTTCTCTTTTCTTAGCTTGTTGCTTAGGATACGCCTGATAACAAAGTTCATGCCTTCACGAGGAACTCGTTGTATCTATAATTGCATCTCTTAATTCACGCAACATACCAAAAGTATTTCAGTGAATACATTTTGAGGCGATCGACAGTGAGCGTTTTGTTGTCATACTTGAATTATACCCTCCAAAGTGAGTGCTATAAGGAATATTAGATGTAGAAATAGTATCAACATGCATCATATCCGAAAAAATGGTCTTATCATCAAAGATTCGGGTGCCTTTCTGAGCATTCATCGGTTGCGGAACCTGCGGAACTCAACTTGCTGCTACGTCTTTAGACTGAGTCACGCTGCTGAAAATAAATCGTCGTATTGAGATTGGCTAATGAAACTAGTTATTTGGAGGTTATTGCCGCGATATTGAGTCTGTCTGATGTGAACTGCCGATATACATTGCACGCAATGCTAGAATTTTCCGTTTCGTAAGAACTGTGCGATTCACGAAAACCTCCTCTATGACTCATGGATTCCGCTCAACTTTCAAAACCTCAAACTTAAGTCGTACGCATCGCAACTTCGATTCCTTTTCTCCGGTGAAATTAGAGTGCAGTTTACTACTTGCCCAATGAATAATCCTACACAGTTATTTGGAGTGCTATTCATTGAAAAGACGTTTTTGGTAGGCCTATTTATCGGAAGATAAATAGGCATTTATGGCAAACAATTTTGGGCTTATATGGATAGCTAGCTAACAAGGCTATCGCTTAGTTAAATGCTCTAAGCCAGACAATACGAAACATAAAATATTATGGATTGAAGTAGGTACTAAAACTAAATGATCATCCCTAGTATTTAGTCGTCATAATGTAATCATACTTAACATAATCAGTGCATAAAACGATTCGAAACGGTCAAGCGTCTCAAGACACTTGTATTGCAGTTGTACCGATAATTACGGTCCATTCAGCCTTGCACTCAATCTTCGGTTGAACTTTATTTCTTGCCCGCTGGTGGTTTTTGTTGTTGTTGTTAGTAGACCGGGGAAATAGTAATAAAAGAGTGTATGGGCATTTTAAGTACATTTCATGTGTTACGACGTGTGCTACGACCGTATATTTCAGTCTAAAAAGAACCAAGATTGTTTATGTTATAAATTACTTATCTAGGCCGCTTCTACTGACAGTAATTTAATTCGAGAATTAAACTGAGTGTGGAAGACAACAATGAAAAATAAAAGATAGTTCGCCCGTACTTCGAGGCTCTGCAAAAATTCACCGTGTTGTTTCATTACAGCCACTCACTTCGATGGATACGTTGCTGTTAAATATGAAGTGAAAGTTGTGTGAAGTTATCTGTGTTGATATTGTTGTCCGTAAGTTCTTGCACGAATCGATGCAATATAAACTATCATTTTGACAACAGTAAAGATGACCCTTGAGCAATCTACCCAGAAATGGGTTATGATAACAGGAACACTTTGCCGCCCCTACGTCATTAATTGATAGGTAAACATATTATGAAAAGACAATTTACAGAACACAACCACAGGACATTGGTATCCTCAGTCGGTCAACTTCTCTTGGTGGTTTAAGGAACAATACTAAATTGTAGATACGGGAAAAACAATTTAACGGGCTTCAACGGATAATAGCTTTATTTTCAGTTAGAATCTCCGCACGTTCTTTCATTTGCGGCCTTTTTATACGTAACCTCCGAGAGCTTCGGCCATTGTGTTGTTAAGTGATATGATATGCTCCGGTCTTTTCAAATACCAATCAAGGTCAAACGTTCACTTTAGTATAGTTTTTCAATGAGATTAACTCCATATGAATCGCATGTATACCCAAGAGAGAAATATTTATTCTTTGAATTGCTCGGACCTCCCATAATCAACGCCGGTGGTAAAATTTTTAACCTTGATTTCTATAAGGTTATTTACAAATTAAGTCAACACAAATTTGCCATCGTTTATTACTCAGGAATTTCTGTCGTTTTTGGCAGCCATGACCCAGAACTGAAGCTTACTCAAACAATTTACAAGACTCCCAGCAGTTTGTATTTTATGTAAAACCCGTTTAGAAAGCACGATCTACGAGCGGCTAGTAGAGTGGTTTCGGGCGCCCGAGTTAAGAGAGACTGAAACCATCAGTCCACATGACGTGCTTCTGTTGATAACTGTTGCTTTCGTTGCCGTTGCATAAAAACAGCAACTGAGTTCAGTTAACAGTAGTGGTGGTACATATTTCCGCAAAAGAAAATCGTTTGTAAAGCTGCAGACACACCCAAACTCGTTTATCCTTAAATTAAATCTAACGAGCTGCGGCACAGAATGAACGGCATAGGTTCATGAACCCTTGGACCCTTTTGCTTAGGTTCTAATTCATTTGCTGGTAAAAATTTCACTGGGCGCAACTGCAAGCCGACAGTGATTTGTAGTCTTAGGATGTCCGAATTCGCTAGAACTCGGACTAAATAGTTCTTATAGATTCTTACTTGATTTTCGTGACAATTGTAGTAGTACTGATACGAACCTTAGGTACAGCGGTCTGTCTACACACGGAATTAACACACAGCTCCACCAGGAACTAATAATAGACTCTTCAAAAGGAAAGGAAACCACCACGAATACGTAGCCGTAAAACTGCGTACGAATGGCGTTAAGGAAAATATCGATCATATCCGATCGTCGTTTAATTTCTCCGGATGTTTCAAGGGAGCTTGAAGAATCGTTTAAATCAACTTACCTCCTCCATAAAACCTATAACAAACTATTTTTGTCCCGATCAGAAGTTTCCATGTCCACATTGTTTGATGTCAAGCCTACATGCAAATGTGTCTGTCCTATTGAATAAATTATTGCATACCAAATCGTGTAGTTGTAGATATAATATTTATAGATCGTCAACTGCGGCGGCAGGAACAATTGACAAAGTTTCCGAGAATATAAATGACTTGATTTTAACACAGTTCAGCACAGGGAAGATGAATCACGGGACTACACCCCACAGAAGAAGAAACTCGTTTTTAATAGAAAAAAAATCGTGTAAAACAGCAAAACAACTTCCCTTTCGTTTTACATAAAAGCCATTCAAAATGCCCTCAATTGTCAAACGTTTTGAGAAGCAACACGAACTAGACCTCAACTCAAAGAAATTCAGCCACAACGAACGAAGAGAAAAGGTAGGCGATGAGAATTCTGTGTTTCTTCTATAAATCACTGAGTAATCAGCAAGTAGAGAGGGGCCAAGTACCATGCACTACAGTGACTAAAAACGATAAAAAAAAAAGAGTTATACAGTGACAGACTGGCACATACAAAAGCCTAAAATTTCAGAAATCATATACATACAATTAGCCATTTTGATTTATAAACCGTTCCCCCACGAAACATTATGTCACCAAATTTTTAAACCGTTTTTTTTTTTTTATCTTTCACTTTTCAAACTAGAAACTACCATGGATTCTTGCAAGATATTACTCGCTGCCATATTTGTTGTTACACTAAGCACAGTGGCTCGTACAGCTCCCTTAAACTCACCACCAAGTAAAATAGAAATTCTCGTCAGACTTGGTCTTTCACCGAAACTCGCTAACGCCACTAAAGAGGTAAGGAACGCTATCATTTTTCAATGCGAGTTTTATTCAGTTGGCCCTGAGTGGACCGTAAGTTATTTTTGTCGCATGGCTTTTAAACGTAGTCACTCATTTTTTTAAACCCATTATTTTTACAGATGAAAAACGTCTACCCGTTCATAGCCTCTCCTGATCTCGAGAGCACGATGCTACTTTTTGGACCCGTTGTCACACCAACATGCTCTACAAACCTGGTTTGTAACTTTTATTGGCATTTTGTCACAAAACTTTTTT